CCTCTCCTCTGGTCCTAGCTTTCAATTTTAACTCTTCCTCGTTCCCGGCTCTAGGTCCCAGCTCTAACTAGGTCCTAGTTCTCTTTAGGTCCTAGCTCTTAGGTCCTAGCTCTCCTTAGGTCCTAGCTCTCCTTAGGTCCTAGCTCTCCTTAGGTCCCAGCTCTCTCAATCCCAGGTCTCCTCTTCCTCGATGCGGGAAGCGTTAAACCCGCAAGGGCCCTACAGCTCACAGAACACACTGGACTACTGGGTGTCGTAGCTACAGAACACAGTAGACTACTGGGTGTCGTAGCCACAGAACACACTGGATTACTGGTTATAGTAGCTACTGAACACAGTAGACTACTGGCTGTCGTAGCCACTGAACACAGTAGACTACTGGCTGTCGTAGCCACAGAACACACTGGATTACTGGTTATCGTAGCTACTGAACACAGTAGACTACTGGCTGTCGTAGCCACAGAAAACAGTAGACTACTGGCTGTCGTAGCCACTGAACACAGTAGACTACTGGCTGTCGTAGCCACAGAACACAGTAGACTACTGGCTGTCGTAGCCACTGAACACAGTAGACTACTGGCTGTCGTAGCCACAGAACACACTGGATTACTGGTTATCGTAGCTACTGAACACAGTAGACTACTGGCTGTCGTAGCCACAGAACACAGTAGACTACTGGCTGTCGTAGCCACGAACACACTGGATACTGGTATCGTAGCTACTGAACACAGTAGACTACTGGCTGTCGTAGCCACTGAACACAGTAGACTACTGGCTGTCGTAGCCACAGAACACAGTGGATTACTGGCTGTCGTAGCTACTGAACACAGTAGACTACTGGGTGTCGTAGCTACTGAACACAGTAGACTACTGGGTGTCGTAGCTACTGAACACAGTAGACTACTGGGTGTCGTAGCTACTGAACACAGTAGACTACTGGGTGATCGTAGCTACTGAACACAGTAGACTACTGGGTGTCGTAGCTACGAACACAGACTACTAGGTGTGTCTCACAGACACTGGTGTCGTAGCTACTGAACACAGTAGACTACTGGCTGTCGTAGCTACTGAACACAGTAGACTACTGCGTTATCGTAGCTGCTAGAACACACAGTAGGACTACTGGGTGTCGTAGCTACTGAACACAGTAGACTACTGGCTGTCATAGCCACTGAACACAGTAGACTACTGGGTGTCGTAGCTACTGAACACAGTAGACTACTGGCTGTCGTAGCTACTGAACACAGTAGACTACTGGGTGTCGTAGCTACTGAACACAGTAGACTACTGGGTGTCGTAGCTACTGAACACAGTAGACTACTGGGTGTCGTAGCTACTGAACACAGTGGACTACTGGCTGTCGTAGCCACTGAACACAGTAGACTACTGGCTGTCGTAGCTACTGAACACAGTAGACTACTGTGTGTCGTAGCTACTGAACACAGCAGACTACTGACTGTCGTAGCTACTGAACACAGTGGACTACTGGGTGTCGTAGCTACTGAACACAGTGGACTACTGGCTGTCGTAGCCACTGAACACAGTAGACTACTGGCTGTCGTAGCTACTGAACACAGTAGACTACTGTGTGTCGTAGCTACTGAACACAGCAGACTACTGACTGTCGTAGCTACTGAACACAGTGGACTACTGGGTGTCGTAGCTACTGAACACAGTGGACTACTGGGTGTCGTAGCTACTGAACACAGCAGACTACTGACTGTCGTAGCTACTGAACACAGTGGACTACTGGGTGTCGTAGCTACTGAACACAGTGGACTACTGGCTGTCGTAGCCACTGAACACAGTAGACTACTGGCTGTCGTAGCTACTGAACACAGTAGACTACTGTGTGTCGTAGCTACTGAACACAGCAGACTACTGACTGTCGTAGCTACTGAACACAGTGGACTACTGGGTGTCGTAGCTACTGAACACAGTGGACTACTGGGTGTCGTAGCTACTGAACACAGTGGACTACTGGGTGTCGTAGCTACTGAACACAGCAGACTACTGACTGTCGTAGCTACTGAACACAGTGGACTACTTAACGATATCCTCATCCACCTACCAAGGTCTCCCAGCTCAGCGAGGTACCATCACATGAATTAAGAACTCCATCGTGTGATGGATGTGGCAGGGACAACATAGCCAGCTTTTGTTCCCACTCTGAAACCGAGGAAGGTAATCAGAGGTGATTGGATGCCAGTTTGGCCTTCAGGGTTTACAGCCCCACACAAGAAGAAAGCCCTAGAGAAGGGGCAAAAACTAACAATATTTGTTACACGAGTCTCAGAAAGATGTTGACCAAAGCACAACTTAAATTATCTTCCTTTAGCTGTCTTTGAAGTTATGAGAACCTAACACTTACCTGTGTTGACCTGGAGGTCATCTAGCACTTTTGGTGACCTGGAGGTCATCTAGCACTTACCTGTGTTGACCTGGAGATCATCTAGCACTTACCTGTGTTGACCTGGAGGTCATCTAGCACTTTTGGTGACCTGGAGGTCATCTAGCACTTACCTGTGTTGACCTGGAGGTCATCTAGCACTTACCTGTGTTGACCTGGAGGTCATCTAGCACTTACCTGTGTTGACCTGGAGATCATCTAGCACTTACCTGGAAGTCATCAAGCACTTACCTGTGGTGACCTGAAACTTAACGAAAATTTAACCCGGGAGGTTACAGTCAGTATTTACCTAAGTAAACCTGAAGATATATTAAGTTACCTGTGTTGACCTGAAGCTCAACCAGTATGTGTGAGGATCCTGAAATAAACCTAAATGAAGCCTTTCTAAAAACCTTTTTTAAAGGAACCTCCCTAAAGGAACGTCTTTAAAGTAGCCTCCCTAAAGGAACATCTTTAAAGTAGCCTTCCTAAAGGAACGTCTTTAAAGTAGCCTTCCTAAAGGAACGTCTTTAAAGTAGCCTTCCTAAAGGAACGTCTTTAAAGTAGCCTTCCTAAAGGAACGTCTTTAAAGTAGCCTCCCTAAAGGAACGTCTTTAAAGTAGCCTCCCTAAAGGAACATCTTTAAAGTAGCCTTCCTAAAGGAACGTCTTTAAAGTAGCCTTCCTAAAGGAACATCTTTAAAGTAGCCTTCCTAAAGGAACGTCTTTAAAGTAGCCTTCCTAAAGGAACGTCTTTAAAGTAGCCTTCCTAAAGGAACGTCTTTAAAGTAGCCTTCCTAAAGGAACGTCTTTAAAGTAGCCTTCCTAAAGGAACGTCTTTAAAGTAGCCTCCCTAAAGGAACGTCTTTAAAGTAGCCTCCCTAAAGGAACATCTTTAAAGTAGCCTTCCTAAAGGAACGTCTTTAAAGTAGCCTTCCTAAAGGAACGTCTTTAAAGTAGCCTTCCTAAAGGAACGTCTTTAAAGTAGCCTTCCTAAAGGAACGTCTTTAAAGTAGCCTTCCTAAAGGAACATCTTTAAAGTAGCCTTCCTAAAGGAACGTCTTTAAAGTAGCCTTCCTAAAGGAACGTCTTTAAAGTAGCCTCCCTAAAGGAACGTCTTTAAAGTAGCCTCCCTAAAGGAACATCTTTAAAGTAGCCTTCCTAAAGGAACGTCTTTAAAGTAGCCTTCCTAAAGGAACGTCTTTAAAGTAGCCTTCCTAAAGGAACGTCTTTAAAGTAGCCTTCCTAAAGGAACGTCTTTAAAGTAGCCTTCCTAAAGGAACATCTTTAAAGTAGCCTTCCTAAAGGAACGTCTTTAAAGTAGCCTTCCTAAAGGAACGTCTTTAAAGTAGCCTCCCTAAAGGAACGTCTTTAAAGTAGCCTCCCTAAAGGAACATCTTTAAAGTAGCCTTCCTAAAGGAACGTCTTTAAAGTAGCCTTCCTAAAGGAACGTCTTTAAAGTAGCCTTCCTAAAGGAACGTCTTTAAAGTAGTCTTCCTAAAGGAACGTCTTTAAAGTAGCCTTCCTAAAGGAACGTCTTTAAAGTAGCCTTTCTAAAGGAACGTCTTTAAAGTAGCCTTCCTAAAGGAACGTCTTTAAAGTAGCCTCCCTAAAGGAACGTCTTTAAAGTAGCCTCCCTAAAGGAACGTCTTTAAAGTAGCCTCCCTAAAGGAACATCTTTAAAGTAGCCTTCCTAAAGGAACGTCTTTAAAGTAGCCTTCCTAAAGGAACGTCTTTAAAGTAGCCTTCCTAAAGGAACGTCTTTAAAGTAGCCTTCCTAAAGGAACGTCTTTAAAGTAGCCTTCCTAAAGGAACATCTTTAAAGTAGCCTTCCTAAAGGAACGTCTTTAAAGTAGCCTTCCTAAAGGAACGTCTTTAAAGTAGCCTCCCTAAAGGAACGTCTTAAAGTAGCCTCCCTAAAGGAACATCTTTAAAGTAGCCTTCCTAAAGGAACGTCTTTAAAGTAGCCTTCCTAAAGGAACGTCTTTAAAGTAGCCTTCCTAAAGGAACGTCTTTAAAGTAGCCTTCCTAAAGGAACGTCTTTAAAGTAGCCTTCCTAAAGGAACATCTTTAAAGTAGCCTTCCTAAAGGAACGTCTTTAAAGTAGCCTTCCTAAAGGAACGTCTTTAAAGTAGCCTCCCTAAAGGAACGTCTTTAAAGTAGCCTCCCTAAAGGAACATCTTTAAAGTAGCCTTCCTAAAGGAACGTCTTTAAAGTAGCCTTCCTAAAGGAACGTCTTTAAAGTAGCCTTCCTAAAGGAACGTCTTTAAAGTAGTCTTCCTAAAGGAACGTCTTTAAAGTAGCCTTCCTAAAGGAACGTCTTTAAAGTAGCCTTTCTAAAGGAACGTCTTTAAAGTAGCCTTCCTAAAGGAACGTCTTTAAAGTAGCCTCCCTAAAGGAACGTCTTTAAAGTAGCCTCCCTAAAGGAACGTCTTTAAAGTAGCCTCCCTAAAGGAACGTCTTTAAAGTAGCCTCCCTAAAGGAACGTCTTTAAAGTAGCCTCCCTAAAGGAACGTCTATTAAAGAACGTCCCTATAGGAAAGTATCTTCAAGGAGCATTCCTAGCGGAACGTGCCTGAAGAAAAGTATGTATAAGGAGCCTTGACACTAACCTGTTGTGCTCCTTCTCGCGGGCGAGCTGCTCCACGTAGCGTTCCACGTAGCGCTCGCGACCGTCGGGTTCGCGACGGGCCAGGCGAGCCTCCATGCGTTCGAGGCGTTCGCGCAAGTCCACCTCGCGTTCCCGGCTCGACTCTCGCGGAGGCGGCGGCGGCCGCAGCTCGCGCGAGTTAGGCTCCGGTCGGGCCTCAGTTTGAGGCTTCAGGTCTACTTCGTGCCGAGGCTTCACTTCCGGCTCCATTCGGAGTTTGAGATCCGGTTCCATTCGGAGTTTGAGATCCGGTTCAATTCGCGGTTTGAACTCTGGTTCCATTCGGGGCCTCGTGAACTCTGGCCTGAAATCAGGTTCGAAGTGCGGTTCACTGACGGTCTCCACACCCTCCTCCACCTCCTGGTCCAGTTCCATCAGCCTGGCGTCCAACCTCGGGTCCGGGAGACCCAGAACCCTGAGATCCATCACCCTGGGGTTTAACAGCCTGGGATCCATCACCCTGGGGTCCACTAGCCTGGGGTCGAAGCGGGGATCCCCTAGGAGCCTGGGGTCGGCCCGCGGGTCGATGAAGCGGTCGGAGACGCGGTGATGGAGGCGGTCCAGGGTGCGGTAGTTAATGACAGTGTCCCTCGCCTCGTTCTCCTTGTTCTTCTTGCTGGAACGAAGCAGCGAAGCGTACTTGCTCTCCTTGTTGACACTGTAACACCCCCAAACACGGTCAGTACACACTACACCTTGGTAATACATACCGACAAACTGCTTTAGAAAGTCGCGTAAATAAACACTAGGGTATATTTATTCGAAACGTTTCGGTCCTGAGACCTTGATCACTTCTCAAGGTCTCAGGACCGAAATGTTTTCTAATAAATATATCCCAGCGTTTGCATACGTGTCTTTCTAAAGCACACTACACCTTCCAAATGGGGTTACGAGGAACGAACCTCAGGCTTCGCTACCCTACACTCACTAGATCTTTTGCCTCACGACTAGTAATCTCCAGGGTCGCTGTACCGCGGTTTCGAAACCCCGTTACCCCATTTAGACTCTTACATTCGTTTATTACGAATTTTTGATGCACACTTTACATCTTGAAACACAATAATCAGTCTAGTGGCACACTGCGAAAATCCAACCAAAACCCACTTTGGAAAATTTAAACTTAAGAGATATTTGTACTTTTCTCGGCCTCAATTTAAGTGTGAGTAGACTGAAGAGGGCCTTGATGTGTCGTCGAAATATAGAGACTTTTAAAAGTTTGAGTTTTCTTTTTCCAAAGTGGGTGTTAATTAGATTGTTGACCGCCCCCCTCCACCAAACACACACTAAATCACATGAAAATCCTAAAAAATGGTCCCAGTTCTCTTCTGACTATCCACTGTCCGTTTCTTATATAAACAGTTCCATGTTTTCAAATAAACAACGAGTGAAGTTAAAAATTTTAATAGATCAAGCAGAAGTCTACATTTTCAACTTTCATGGGACAATGTAGACAACAGGACTCACGAAATCATAACACGACTGCAAACAAACCACAGAACTGGTGGGGCCTGAACCCATGGCGAGTGATTTACGCGCTCGCTGGCCTAGTGTTTTACGACACACTTGTCGTGAGTTCAAATCCCACCCGTTCTGTAGTTAAGCAACAATCATATTTTGTATTTTTTTACTGGGATAGTCACTTGCGAAGTGGTCCGCAGGCGTCTGTGGCCACAGGCATGGGTTAGACAACATGAATTAGATATATATATTTTTAGGAACCCTGTGTTGGAGACAAAACATAGACAAGAGGGCAGGGCAAGAACGACCCTGTCCTCTCTCACCTGGAAGCTAGAGGTAATAGGGAAGGAGGGAGAAAACAGGTGAAGGAGGGCAGAGAGATGGTATATGGGGGAGGGTATTAAAACGTTAACAAGGGGGTTTAACGTTCCTCTTGGTAAATCACGTTGTACAGATGAAGCCGGAGGTGTTACTGCGAGGTCGCTCGTGCATATAGCGAGATTATAGGTCTTTACAACCTTGTAGAGATGTGGCACTTCAAGCATAGGTCTACACAACTTCAAGGATAGGTCTACACAACTTCAAGGATAGGTCTACACAACTTCAGGCATAGATCTACACAACTTCAAGGATAGGTCTACACAACTTCAAGGATAGGTCTACACAACTTCAAGGATAGGTCTACACAACTTCAGGCATAGATCTACACAACTTCAAGGATAGGTATACACAACTTCAAGGATAGGTCTACACAACTTCAAGGATAGGTCTACACAACTTCAAGGATAGGTCTACACAACTTCAAGCCTAGATCTACACAACTTCAAGGATAGGTCTACACAACTTCAAGGATAGGTCTACACAACTTCAAGGATAGGTCTACACAACTTCAGGCATAGATCTACACAACTTCAAGGATAGGTCTACACAACTTCAAGGATAGGTCTACACAACTTCAAGGATAGGTCTACACAACTTCAAGGATAGGTCTACACAACTTCAAGCCTAGATCTACACAACTTCAAGGATAGGTCTACACAACTTCAAGGATAGGTCTACACAACTTCAAGCCTAGATCTACACAACTTCAAGGATAGGTCTACACAACTTCAAGGATAGGTCTACACAACTTCAAGGATAGGTCTACACAACTTCAAGCCTAGATCTACACAACTTCAAGGATAGGTCTACACAACTTCAAGGATAGGTCTACACAACTTCAAGGATAGGTCTACACAACTTCAAGCCTAGATCTACACAACTTCAAGGATAGGTCTACACAACTTCAAGGATAGGTCTACACAACTTCAAGCCTAGATCTACACAACTTCAAGGATAGGTCTACACAACTTCAAGGATAGGTCTACACAACTTCAAGGATAGGTCTACACAACTTCAAGCCTAGATCTACACAACTTCAAGGATAGGTCTACACAACTTCAAGGATAGGTCTACACAACTTCAAGCCTAGATCTACACAACTTCAAGGATAGGTCTACACAACTTCAAGGATAGGTCTACACAACTTCAAGGATAGGTCTACACAACTTCAAGCCTAGATCTACACAACTTCAAGGATAGGTCTACACAACTTCAAGGATAGGTCTACACAACTTCAAGGATAGATCTACACAACTTCAAGGATAGGTCTACACAACTTCAAGCCTAGATCTACACAACTTCAAGGATAGGTCTACACAACTTCAAGGATAGATCTACACAACTTCAAGGATAGGTCTACACAACTTCAAGGATAGATCTACACAACTTCAAGGATAGGTCTAACACTCTTGTAAAGACGTATCACTTCAAGGATAAGTCTTCACAACCTTGTAGAGATGTGTCACTTCAATTATGAGCCTACAAAATCTTGTAGAGATCGCCTACCGTCTATCAAGGCTGAGGGACTGATCACCTCAAACTATAGTCGCCTGTACATTCGACTGAAGAAACGTGCTGTGCAGGCGAAACGCTTCACCAATAAAGATACCTAGGAGTTACACATGTGTCATAGTCATCAACTTTCCTGTATCGTACACCACGAACGCTATGATCTCCAGTTATATAATTCAGGGTATACATCCTGTGTGGTACCTTCTCAAAGACCTTCTGCTAGCAGAGATCCACTGCCTCTCTGGATGACTTTCGTTGTCCCAGTTTTTGTAAATTCACCTGAAAAACTCTAGTTAGTTAAGACAGCATTTTTTTTAATCGTGAAAAGCGTATCGGTTTTGGGGTAAAAAGATACCGTCTTTAATTAAGCTGAAAGTGGTTACCATAGTTTACTCTCGGTGTTCAACTTACAGGTCATGACTGTCAGTTGGTGTGTGTCTGACAGCTGGAGTAACATTAGATAGTTTTCAATCACACGTAGTACTTTGTATGATGGTAATTTACTGACAGATAAGGCCAGATAAAGTAGGAATAGAAATACAGAAAGGGAGACACTGATAAATATACGGACAGAACGAAAGATAAATAGAGAGAAAGAGAGAGAGAGAGAGAGAGAGAGAGAGAGAGAGAGAGAGAGAGAGAGAGAGAGAGAGAGAGAGAGAGACAAAGACAGGTGGAGGGCTGGGGTGGGTAGCCACACAACTCAACACACTCATGGTTTTTTCCTGCACCGGCAGAGAGAGAAAGAGAGAGGGTGTGGAGCAAGGGTTATTGTCCCTGTCTCTCAGTGGTGCTCTCTCTCTCTCTCTCTCTCTCTCTTCTCTCTCTCTCGCTCTCTTAATTATAAGTCTACAGGCTACAGAGAAGGATAACAAAGCTTGTTGATTTCATTAACAAATATGGAAACGCACAAGTCAGTTCACGATCAGTCAGGTGATGCAACACAAACGTTGACATGTACACAAGCACTCTGAAGTGCAAGATGAAACTCAGAAGAGAAACTCCGGGACAGGTGATGCAACACAAACGTTGACATGTACACAAGCAATCTGAAGTGCAAGATGAAACTCAGAAGAGAAACTCCGGGACAGGTGATGCAACACAAACGTTGCCAAATACACAAGCAATCTGAAGTGCAAGATGAAACTCAGAAGAGAAATTCCGGGGCAGGAGATGCAACACAAACGTTGACAAATACACAAGCAATCTGAAGTGCAAGATGAAACTCAGAAGAGAAACTCCGGGGCAGGAGATGCAATACAAACGTTGACAAATACACAAGCATGCCCAAGAAGCCTTTTTTGAATAAGACATATGAAACACTGGCGCATATATCTTATTCATCAATGTCTCGGTAATGTATGCCATAAATTAGAACAAAGCCTTTACTCTGATGTCTTTGTTCTGGGTAGAGACTTTTCATGTCTTGAAAATAGCTCTTCTTACAGCTGCACGTCGTTTTAATAAATTGTTTTTCTCTGCATGCTTGGTCAACATGGCCGTCAGAGTCACGTCTTTCAAGTCAACACAAACGTGAGTAGTGGAGCGTCTTCTGCAACGTCATGAAACACTGGTGACTTCCAGTGAACCCAGAATCCTTCCCAGGGCTGGTTGAACCTTATACAGAACTTCGTAGTATCGTTTACAGTGCTCGCTGGAGCCCTGTAAGCAGCAGTATGTTAACCTAAAACTACACAAATAACCCACAGAAGGGAGAGAGAAGCTTATGACAACGTTTCGTTCCGACCTAAACTATTTACAAAGTCTAAGTCGGGATCGTAACGTCGTGGTAAGTTTCTCTCTCCTATGTGCGAGTTATTAAATGTATTGTTCCAATCACGGTATTGTGCCTTTTTCTTCTTTAACCTAAAACTGCACCGAGGACTTAACGGTATACATACACAGAAGAAGGTCTTGAGGAGTTCTCCGTTTCTAATCCCGAAGGCTGCCATTATGTTTGCCAAGCTTGTATATGCTGCTGATGTTACTATGTTTCTGTGAGCTGTGGTAGGCAGGTTTGATGTAAGGTTCATTCTCCGCTTAATGCATGGAGAGAACCTTATCTAGTAGAACCCTACGCTTACACAGGGTACGTTCAGCTGACTCTTGAAAACTTGTGCTGATTTAGATCCCACAGCATCCGTAGGGACACTATTCTGGTTACCCATAACTCTGAGGGACCACACTCATCGTGTTTGAGGGACCACACTCATCATGTTTGAGGGACCACACTCATCATGTTTCAGGGACCACACTCCTCATGTTTGAGGGACCACACTCATCATGTTTGAGGGACCACACTCATCATGTTTGAGGGACCACACTCATCATGTTTGAGGGACCACACTCCTCATGTTTGAGGGACCACACTCATCATGTTTCAGGGACCACACTCATCATGTTTCAGGGACCACACTCATCACGTTTCTCCACTCAGTTCACTATTTGAACTTACTCGGTATTTCCTGTCAGTGAGCCAATCACTCAACCAGTTCTGGAAGACAGTCTATGACGTGAACCTTCAGTTTACCAAGTAATCTTCAACGCGGTACTTCGGTAATCTTCAACGCGGTACTTGGCTAAACACCTGAAAGTCGAGGTGCAGTACTCCTACGAGAATTCTGTTTGCCAGGTTTTGCAAAGCAGCAGAAAAACTTTAAACTATGTTAGGTAGTTTTTCTTTTGCAATTTAAGATTCTATGCTGATTGTTGGATAAAGGTTAACGATACTGTCCCAAATAACCACTTCTATTAGTGATTGTTGGATAAAGGTTAACGATACTGTCCCAAATAACCACTTCTATTAGTGATTGTTGGATAAAGGTTAACGATACTGTCCCATATAACCACTTCTATTAGTGTACTCACAACTGACGTCACGCTAATAAGGTTATAACTGAGAGGGCGGGTTAGGTTAGGTTAGGTTAGGTTAGGTTAGGTTAGGTTAGGTTTATCATAAAATACGCTGTATGACTCTTGTAGGTTTAGGGCTTCTTCTTTTTTGAATATAATAATAATCGTCCTGAAACAGGACAGGTGTTTCCTGACGCGGATCTTAGCCACATCATGACTCGCAGTTGGAGCTTTTGGTCATCTGACTGAGACTTTTCACTGGCTTACCGGTCACCCCTTTATAAATTATGGTTATGATTATAGCCATTAGATATAATCTACTGAGAGAGCATGATATACCTTCCATTTAAAGACTAGTATGACCCTAGCTAGTTAACAGTCACGTTATACTTTGTCTTTCTCAGTAGATCTGTTGAGTATATCCGTAACCTCTATAAAATTAGTTATCCAGATTATTTTAGTATTCAGATTAGCATTCCGTTGAGCGATGTGCATTTGTTAATGATAAGCTGTTCCAGGTATTTTAATGCTGTTGTGGTAACGACCTTACTAACGGATAGTTGGTCACATTTAATTGCCGTAAAGAGGTCTTAGTTACGTTGGCTTCACTTCCAGCAAAGTTATGTGATCTAGCCAAGTTGGCATCATTGTCGGATGTGAAGACCGAGTTGACAGTGTCACTGACAAAACAGGTCGCATCTTTACTGTTATTACTCTTATTTGTGCTCTATCAGAAGCCATACTCCGAAATGGATTTTAATGCTTTAAACCTATTTAAAAACTCTTGGGGATTTGCTCTGAATCTACGAGCAATTAATCTTTCTAGATCACGTTGGCCATATTCATAATTCTAAGGCACTCTGATGATGTATAAGTAACACGATCCTCGGGTGATGTATAGGTAACGCGATCCTCGGGTGATGTATAGGTAACGCGATCCTCGGGTGATGTATAGGTAACGCGATCCTCGGGTGATGTATAGGTAACACGATCCTCGGGTGATGTATAGGTAACGCGATCCTCGGGTGATGTATAGGTAACACGATCCTCGGGTGATGTATAGGTAACGCGATCCTCGGGTGATGTATAGGTAACACGATCCTCGGGTGATGTATAGGTAACACGATCCTCGGGTGATGTATAGGTAACGCGATCCTCGGGTGATGTATAGGTAACGCGATCCTCGGGTGATGTATAGGTAATGCGATCCTCGGTGATGTATAGGTAACACGATCCTCGGGTGATGTATAGGTAACACGATCCTCGGTGATGTATAGGTAACGCGATCCTCGGGTGAGTTATAGGGTAACGCGATCCTCGGGTGATGTATAGGTAACACGATCCTCGGGTGATGTATAGGTAACGCGATCCTCGGGTGATGTATAGGTAACACGATCCTCGGGTGATGTATAGGTAACACGATCCTCGGGTGATGTATAGGTAACACAATCCTCGGGTGATGTATAGGTAACGCGATCCTCGGGTGATGTATAGGTAACACAATCCTCGGGTGATGTATAGGTAACGCGATCCTCGGGTGATGTATAGGTAACACGATCCTCGGGTGATGTATAGGTAACGCGATCCTCGGGTGATGTATAGGTAACACGATCCTCGGGTGATGTATAGGTAACACGATCCTCGGGTGATGTATAGGTAACGCGATCCTCGGGTGATGTATAGGTAACACAATCCTCGGGTGATGTATAGGTAACGCGATCCTCGGGTGATGTATAGGTAACGCGATCCTCGGGTGATGTATAGGTAACGCGATCCTCGGGTGATGTATAGATAACACAATCCTCGGGTGATGTATAGGTAACGCGATCCTCGGGTGATGTATAGGTAACGCGATCCTCGGGTGATGTATAGGTAACGCGATCCTCGGGTGATGTATAGGTAACGCGATCCTCGGGTGATGTATAGGTAACGCGATCCTCGGGTGATGTATAGGTAACGCGATCCTCGGGTGATGTATAGGTAACGCGATCCTCGGGTGATGTATAGGTAACGCGATCCTCTGGTGATGTATAGGTAACGCGATCCTCGGTGATGTATAGGTAACACGATCCTCGGGTGATGTATAGGTAACACGATCCTCGGGTGATGTATAGGTAACACAATCCTCGGGTGATGTATAGGTAACGCGATCCTCGGGTGATGTATAGGTAACGCGATCCTCGGGTGATGTATAGGTAACACGATCCTCGGGTGATGTATAGGTAACACGATCCTCGGGTGATGTATAGGTAACACGATCCTCGGGTGATGTATAGGTAACACGATCCTCGGGTGATGTATAGGTAACGCGATCCTCGGGTGATGTATAGGTAACGCGATCCTCGGGTGATGTATAGGTAACACGATCCTCGGGTGATGTATAGGTAACGCGATCCTCGGGTGATGTATAGGTAACGCGATCCTCGGGTGATGTATAGGTAACGCGATCCTCGGGTGATGTATAGGTAACGCGATCCTCGGGTGATGTATAGGTAACGCGATCCTCGGGTGATGTATAGGTAACGCGATCCTCGGGTGATGTATAGGTAACACGATCCTCGGGTGATGTATAGGTAACGCGATCCTCGGGTGATGTATAGGTAACACAATCCTCGGGTGATGTATAGGAAACACGATCCTCGGGTGATGTATAGGTAACACGATCCTCGGGTGATGTATAGGTAACACGATCCTCGGGTGATGTATAGGTAACACAATCCTCGGGTGATGTATAGGTAACACGATCCTCGGGTGATGTATAGGTAACACGATCCTCGGGTGATGTATAGGTAACACGATCCTCGGGGTTTCCTATTGGTTTACATAAACTGTCTTGAGTTTACACCCTAACTGTTGGGTCACAGCCAGAGTGGTTCGGTTTTCACGTTTTTCCTTCGTATTTACAAAGAATATTACTTATCAAAATAGTTTGGATTTTTACATAGGAATCTGTTTCACACGTCTTTTACAGTGGTCACCTGTAAGAGTTCAGCACACTTTTAACATGAAGCTGGGGCCGTGAACTACGTCTGAGAGCTGAGGCTGAGAGCCTAGTCTTGGACCTAAGGCCTTTGCCCTGAATCAGCTCACACTTTACCTGTGTCCACACCCACACACACACACACACACACACACACACACACACATACTTGCTTTTATCAGACTTTCGTTGCAACTTTCCCTGGGTACAAAAACTAGACGTACACACTATCTTGTGATGCTTATTGCACACACACACTCAACTTTCACTGTTGCAGTGGCCACACATCAACCATAAACTTACCTTGCATGTTCGCTTTAACTGAACCCGGCTCGGGTGAATTCATCCAAAACACGTATCGAGAGTGATCAACAGAAACGTGTACATTACGCTGAATAAACACCCTTGTGTGTGTGTGTGTGTGTGTGTGTGTGTGTGTTAGAGGCACCAACATGTTGCTACCATCCGCTGGTGTGTGGCCACACAACACAAACACTTAACGAAAAAAAAAAAACACCACAAAACCACATGAAACGGAACTACAACCAAGCAGAAGGAAGCAGGAAAAAACAGAAGCAGGAAGGTAGGCACATACTAACACCTCCGTGTTATGTTGGGTTACCAATCCTCCGTGTTATGTTAGGTTACCAATCCTCCGTGTTATGTTAGGTTACCAATCCTCCGTTTTATGCTGGGTTACCAATCCTCCGTGTTATGCTAGGTTACCAATCCTCCGTGTTATGTTAGGTTACCAATCCTCCGTTTTATGCTGGGTTACCAATCCTCCGTGTTATGCTGGGTTATCAATCCTCCGGGTTATGCTAGGTTACCAATCAGCCGTGTTATGCTGGGTTACCAATCCTCCGTGTTATGTTGGGTTACCAATCCTCCGTGTTATGCTAGGTTACCAATCCTCCGTGTTATGCTAGGTTACCAATCCTCCGGGTTATGCTACCAATCCTCCTTGTTATGCTAGGTTACCAACCCTCCGTGTTATGCGGGGTTACCAATCCTCCGTGTTATGCTAGGTTACCAATCCTCCGTGTTATGCTGGGTTACCAATCCTCCGTGTTATGCAAGGTTACCAATCCTCCGTGTTATGTTGGGTTACCAATCCACCGGGTTATGCTAGGTTACCAATCCACCGGGTTATGCTAGGTTACCAATCCTCCGTGTTATGCTAGGTTACCAATCCTCCGTGTTATGCTAGGTTACCAATCCTCCGTGTTATGCTAGGTTACCAATCATCCGTGTTATGCTAGGTTACCAATCCTCCGGGTTATCCTAGGTTACCAATCCTCCGGGTTATCCTAGGTTACCAATCCACCGGGTTATGCTAGGTTACCACTCCTCCGTGTTATGCTAGGTTACCAATCCACCGGGTTATGCTAGGTTACCAATCCACCGGGTTATGCTAGGTTACCAATCCTCCGTGTTATGCTAGGTTACCAATCATCCGGGTTATGCTAGGTTACCAATCCTCCGTGTTATGCAAGGTTACCAATCCACCGGGTTAATCTAGGTTACCAATCCACCGGGTTATGCTAGGTTACCAATTCTCCGTGTTATGTTAGGTTACCAATCCTCCGTGTTATGCTATGTTACCAATCCACCGGGTTATCCTAGGTTACCAATCCTCCGGGTTATCCTAGGTTACCAATCCTCCGGGTTATCCTAGGTTACCAATCCTCCGGGTTATCCTAGGTTACCAATCCACCGGGTTATCCTAGGTTACCACTCCTCCGGGTTATCCTAGGTTAAAAATCCACCGGGTTATCCTAGGTTAGCAATCCACCGGGTTATCCTAGGTTACCAATCCTCCGGGTTATCCTAGGTTACCAATCCTCCGGGTTATCCTAGGTTATCAATCCACCGGGTTATCCTAGGTTACCAATCCACCGGGTTGTCCTAAGTTACCAATCCTCCGGGTTATGCTAGGTTACCAATCCTCCGGGTTATCCTAGGTTACCAATCCTCCGGGTTATCCTAGGTTACCAATCCACGGGTTTCCTAGGTTACCAATCCTCCGGTTATCCTAGGCTACCAATTCCTCCGGGTTATCCTAGGTTACCAATCCTCCGGGTTATCCTAGGTTACCAATCCTCCGGGTTATCCTAGGTTACCAATCCTCCGGGTTATCCTAGGTTACCAATCCACCGGGTTATCCTAGGTTACCAATCCTCCGGGTTATCCTAGGTTACCATCCTCGGGTTATGCTAGGTTACCAATCCTCCGGGTTATCCTAGGTTACCAATCCACCGGGTTATCCTAGGTTACCAATCCTCCGGGTTATCCTAGGTTACCAATCCTCCGGGTTATCCTAGGTTACCAATCCTCCGGGTTATCCTAGGTTACCAATCCTCCGGGTTATCCTAGGTTACCAATCCTCCGGGTTAACCTAGGTTACCAATTCTCCGGGTTATCCTAGGTTACCAATCCTCCGGGTTATCCTAGGTTACCAAATCCTCCGGGTTAACCTAGTTACCAATCCTCCAGGTTATCCTAGGTTACCAATCCTCCGGGTTATCCTAGGTTACCAATCCACCGGGTTATCCTAGGTTACCAATCCTCCGGGTTATCCTAGGTTACCAATCCACCGGGTTATCCTAGGTTACCAATGATTCAAGTCATCCTGAAAAGGTGAGTGTAGAAAGAAGGGAATAGAAATGAAAATGTAAAAAGGGAAGCGGTGTTTGAGAAGGGGAGGAGATGGAATTTAGCTGTGTGTTGAGTGTAAGGAATGGACAGAGGATAGGGAAGG